GATTCTCAAGCACCAGGTTGACAAATTCCGCGTCGTCATAAAGCATGGTATCTGGAAAATCGAGAGTGTTGATATTGAATTCCATCAAGTAAGGAACGAAAATCGCGCTTGGCAGCAGCATACCCGTTGCAGCAGCAAGTAGTACATCAACCACTTCAGCAACAAAGCGAGCAGATCCGCATGACATTCCGGATGTTGTTACTTCTGTACCCACACGATTGGGCTTGGTAATCATCTGATAGACTACGAAAGATGACCAGCAATTTAGCACTAAAAACGCCACCTTGACGTGATTTATCCATGGCCGGGCGATTAAGGTGCTATACAGATAAGTGCCTGGGACTTGCGTGGCAATTTCCACAATCTTGCGTATCGCAAACACGCGACCATACAAGTTACCATTAATCTCTTCATTTCGAGTGGAAACAATCTTGTTGACAATTGATGCGCAGAAAGCCATAACGCGGGAGCTTGGACCTAACGGTCGGGCAGTAATGTTCCACTTAAGGATAGAGGATCCTACGTGACTAACAAGTTGCATCCCATTCGCGATGCCCAGAACGCATAAGAAGGCGCCCACAGTTTGAAAGTGTCGGTCCTGTGCTGGAGCAAGTAGATTTGTAAAGTAGTCGATGTACTCGTTCTCCATAATCCAATACAACTTGGCATTGAGAATTAGAAACACTGCTGACACACCGTGAAATAAAACCATGAACATCCATAGAGCGACAAATGCGCGCTTGGAAAGGTTACAACGAGGAAGAGCTGCTGAAATACCACGTGAATCCTGATTTAAACGGTTAGAAGCTCTTGCCGGGGCTACGCGAATCATGGCCGAAGTGCCTCTAATTCAGGTAAAGGAAAACATACAAACGATGACGGCATGAGAATTATTGTCTCCATCTATTTATAGGTCATGTGATGACTAAATCCTAACCAAGCATAAAACTGCAGCAACATAACCTTCCTTACGTTGAGCTCATTATGTTGCACACGTGAAGCTGTCATCATTAAAAAAAAAGGCACATGCTGCTGCACCCAACTGAGAAATCTGAGACGAGCCAATTGCACCCAAGTGTCACCCAATTGTGACCAAATAGCCCCAACCTGCGCCCAAATGGGCACGAATGAAGCCCAACTTAAAAGAGTGGGACCTGGCTTGTATACGTACAGCCGGATTGCTGGTCAACGTGGAACTGGATATCCGAAGTGTTCATGCACCACGAAGTTCTAGGCTACACTTGTACTTACGCAAGCAGAATCAACCACAAAACGCATTGACTGAATTGGATACTAATGTATGCACGAAAGAAAACGTGTATTCAAAGTTAGCAGTAGAGCTAGCCTACAGACACATACGGAGATAGCGGTACCGTAGGCACTGCAGTGTTTTCTTGTCCACGTATCCTAGTGGTTCAGCACCACAGAACATTTCAAATGCGAGCAACACGTAGATTCCACAGTTGTAGCTGTCAGTCTGAACTCCAAGTCCAGAATCAAAAACCCACACACGAAATGGCGTTTGCACACTTGTAGGTAGCAAATGAACCAACGTCTGTGCCAATACACGCACGCTCATCGTGTATGAAGACGAGCTTGAATCGTACACTTCCACTGTACCGCCTTCAAGGTCGATCATGACTCCACACCAGTGGCTCCCATTGCAATTCACAGGTATCAACACCTTCTCACGTGTAAGCCCGCTCAGTGCGTCTCTGATGATTTCG